TTGGTTTTTTTTTATTATTTTGTTATTGCCATGTATTTTTTTAAAAAAATACTGCAATAATGAATACCTAAAACCTAATTTTTTTAAAAAAAAAAGAAGATGTGACTTTGCGAATGGGAGAAAGGAAAAACAAATAAAATAACCTTACCATTAGCGAAAGGTTCATTTTAATTGGAGGATGATTCCAATCACCAGAAATTTTGTGGCCAGCACTCCATTTAGCCATCAGCAATTTTTTTCTTCTGGTATTTTAATTATTTGAATAGTTAACCATGTTTGAAAGAATGTGATAATTTTTTCAATAGTGTAATGAGTAAAATGTTTTAAATTCGATTTCTCTTAATTACAATAATTTTGACTAATTTAATGAGTCAGAAAAGACTATTTTACTGTCTAATCCATCATGTTATTTCGGTAGTTATTTCCGTTCAAACTTATATTTCATCCGGCCCAAACCATCGGGTCATTTGGATACGTACGTGGGCTGATAATGTACAAGGTTAACGTGACATCTTTTTGACACTTAATTCTATAAGTTTTGCCAATTATTATTTTTCAATTTTAAGCCTCTTATTATTTTTCTTTGCACCCACATATTTTTCATTTGTCAAAAAATTAATTAAATGAGTCGGTTCTAAGTAGCACCGTCAAAACAGGCAGTTTGGCCCAGCCACGCGGGTTCAGTTCTAAAATAGGCCCAACAAAAAAAGCTCGATAAATAACGAGCATCTAATGAGCTAGCTTGCAGCAAATCCGTGGACATGCCCAAACATGTTCATTTTTTTTCAACTAAAAACTTGACGATATGCAATAATCTAAATATAAATATCCTATTTTTAAATCATTGATCTGAGCTTAAAAAAATAAAATATATTACTTATATTTAGATTTATATTTAAAATTAGACATAATTTAAACGATAAATTGGATTTTCAAAATTAAAAGAAAAAAATTATTTAAAGAATTGAATTACATTCCATATTTCCAAATGAATAAAATCTGAACCAATAAGAAATATTTTGATAGCTGATTTCAATTAAATCATATAATTTCATAATAAATTATTGGATTCTTATATCTCATGTTATTATATAGCATTGTTCATTAAGAAAGGACAAATAAAATTTCACAAGGAAGACAAATGGACTGACTATATATAAAAACAAAACAAGGTGAATAATAAAACCATAATCAAAAGAAAATTAACTAATTAAAATCCAAAATAAATCAAAATGAAAATCAGAGATCCAAAAAGATAATTAAATGAGTAAACGACAAGTCGTGTCGTCCCAATCAACTAATAGAGTTTCCTCTACGCAATAACTTAAATGCAAAACCATAACTAGCTGGCCTCGTATCCCAAAACAACCCAATCTCATCTCCTGGGTTAATAACTCTACAACGAAGAACCTCCACAAACCCTAAAAGATACGTATCATTTTTTGCTCCATTCTTCACGTACGAACTCTGAAAAGTTTTGGGCATATTTTCTTCTGAATAATCAATCAAAACGACAAAGCACTTGTTCCCTTGGACAAGATGGTTAGCCAACTCAACGTTCCAGAATCTAAAAACATGTTCAAACATTTCTTCATGGCTCAGTAAAAACTCGCCGGTGGCCACTTCACTTCTTGATATGGCTCTTCTTATTTGCCATGGGTTCGTCGGGTCCATGCGGGCCGGAGCGAACCAGTCTCTGATTTCTACTATGGTTCGACTCACGTGGTGCTGTGCTTTGCGAGCCACTGCTGCTTCTTCTTCTGCCTTTGTGGGCAGGAAATTGTAGTAGAAGGTTTTTCTCATGGCGGCTAAGGAAGATTAATATTGAAGAAGAAAGAAAAGGGTTTTGAATGGAAAATTTGAGCAAATGGATTGTGATTTATACAATAAAGAGTGTAGAATTGAATCTTTTTGTATATTAGGAAAGTAAAGATTCTGCATTTTATTTTCCATATCGAGATTAACAGGTATACATGTATGTTTGATGCTAGAGTGGGTGAAGGTGTAGTTCTACGTACTCTTTTCCTTTTTCCTGATCTTAAGACTATTGTTGGTGTAACTCGATCGGTATGGAATGGAACGTCACTCGTTCTGATTTCAGTCCGAAATATTTTGGAATATAAAGTTTTATTTCATTTAGTTTCATATATTGTTTTAGAATTTAAAATTTCATTCCATAATATTTTACAAAAAATTAGTATAGGATTGATTAAAAAAAAAAAAATCGGTAATCCAATATTCTTAAACATAAATATAAATCTAGTTTATTGTACTATATTTTAAGATATGGAATTAAAATTTAATAAAAAAAATACTCAATATATTTATTAAATTAAATATAAAATATTAAAAACACAAATTTAAGCTCATTAACGAGGAATAAAAATATATCTTCATAATCTCCATTTAATTAGTAATGAAGTAATGATAAATATACAAAACTAAAAGTTGGTGCCACCGTGAAATAGATACAACAAAAACAAGAAATTACAAAGAGAAGTAAGAAAATAAAAGCAAAAAATAAATCAAGAGAATAATTTCATATAAAAAATTTTTAAAGTGTCAAAGTTGATCGAAACACGCAAATTATGAATATACGAAGCTGACTTTTTTTTTTTTTGTTGGCTCTTGGATTTTCATGCCTATAGTAATCACAGTATTTTGTTAAACTACGTATATAGTTTTAGAACGAAATAAGAGTTTTTTTAAGTATTAAATTTTGAAAATATTTTACTCATGGTTAATGTTTTATTTTTAAATATATAATAAAAATTTTAAAAATAAAATAAATTAAAAGTTCAGTATATAGATCAAAATATTAAATTTTCGATCATGTTTCCATTCCAATTCCACATACCAATATTTTAAAAAATACACAACATTCCAAATTTCATATTTCGAAATTCCATTCCCAATTGAATTTGGATTTGGATTGATATATTCGAAACCATTTTACAACCCTAACTACTAATGATTTTTGGGCATAGATATGGAATGTATGTCTTTTACACACATTATTTTTTCTTTTCTTTCTCTCTCTCGTCGACTCCGATTGCCTCTCTTTCGCTTTCACTTTCTCTTTTTCTCTATATTTGTCTCAATAAAATTAACTTTCCGAGGACGTTTCACGTGCATAATTGAATAAAATCAGTACTAGAAATCAGAATCCACCATACTCAGACTAGTTTTTTCAATTTAAGTAGCACCTATTTATATTACGAGAACCGAGTGGCTTTTCTGGACCTCATCCTTTTCTATTCTGCTTATGGTGGTTGTTGTTGATATTGATTAACAATGGTAGCAGCCATTGGCACCACCAGCATCAGTGATGAAGGATCGTCAGAGACACCAGTTTGTTTTATGGAGTAGATTCTTTTGGTGTACTCTCATCGTTATGGTCTCTTGCGTTCTCTTTACGGCTTTAAGTTATCCCCCTCTCGCCTTTTAATTGGAGGTAATTTATTTATCTATTTTCTGAATTTTTTTTTGTCCATTTTTTGCTTTTTGTTTCTGGCTCGATCATGTCTGGGAAATTCAAGGCATGAGTTTTATTTGGTATGATGACATGGATTAAATATCAAGCTAAATAAGCATCCACCTAGGTAAAAGTTGTTCCCAAATAGTAATAATGTTTTCCGGTTTTCCATTTCACCCAAGGGTTGGGTTGTTCGCCCGTTAAAACAGTATGTAAGCTGGATTCAGAACGTTGTGAGACAGTTCGGTCTATATTTGGTGTGGACGTTAGAGCATTGAGAGGACTTTTACTTAATACGAGAGGATAAAGAAGGATGCACCTCTGGTGTACCAGTTGTTGTACCCATGGTAAACACTGGGTGGCCAAGTGCAGAGTAGATAACTGCTGAAAGCCTCTAAGTAGGAAGTCCACCCTAAGATGAGCGCTCTCCTATTTCGAGTCCCCAGAACCTTCGGTAGCACATCCGAGACAATGACCGGTTCTCTGTCCCAACGAGAATGGAGTGACAGAAGTTTTCAGGATTCAAGATAAAGTCACAGCGAGACGAGCCGTTTATCATTACAATAGGTGTCAAGTGGAAGTGCAGTGATGTATGCAGTTGAGACATCCTAACAGACCGATAACGTGAACTTTATTCCTACATGACTTGATTAATTTGATTAGGCACTTGCCATCTATTTTTATTATTCAACTCCATAAGACACTAAAATGAAAAAAAAAATATTAAAACTTCAAACGCTCAGTTGACAATATTTTCCGTACAAACACTAAAAGAATCACACGTTCAGCACTAAAAATAACATTATCTCAAAAATTTATCGTGCCAAATATGTTTTTAGAACGGTGACATTTTAGTTGAGATTAATCAAGGTTTCTTTTCTAACATTAAATTAAAACAGAGATTTTTTATAAAAAAAAAAAATTCAGCCCTTTTTTTTTTTTAAGTTCTTAGTCCCATCATGGGTAATTTATTTTACTAGATTAAAAAGGTAAATTTATAGTATTAATACTTACCAAAATCTTTAAAGTTGGGTAACACCAGGTGTGGGGTTGTTCTGATATTTCAGAGTTCTTGTGAAATATGCTTTCTGCTAGCTAGGAAAACCATAACCATAACTCTCGCCAAATCATTAATTATTGAGATTTCTTTTTGCTGAATACTGTTAATTCGATTTTATTTAAGATGAAATCAAGTTGGTTAATAATAACATCTTAATAACTATTACCAAATACAATTTAGAAAATTGCATTGTAATATTTGTTGTTAATAATTTCAGATGAATCAAACTCATTATGCGTCTTTTTAGCAAAATTAATTGTATTAGTAATTGTAATATTTCTAACGTTTGATTCTCCGTTACTACGGATAAATATAATGCCCGAGTGCATAAAATCTCTTCTGAACTTTTTCATTTTAACTATTTATCAACTTCAACTTTGCGGGGTATCTAATGTGCCCTTGAACTTGATTTTTTTTGTATCTTTTACATCTTTGTTCAGTCACAGAATTGAGCGTGACATACAATTGCTCTTACGTGGTAATTTTTTTAAAACACTTCAGCATACTTTATTCCACGTGGCATTTATATGTACTAAACCAATTTAAACCCATTAGAAATTCCAAACCAAGTAAAAACTCATGATTTGAGCCAAACTGGATCTTAATCAACCCAAACCAGCCCCAATCTAAATCTATCTTCTCCATTCTCTCCATTTGTGCACAGCCCTCCGCCTCCATTTTTATTTATTTCTTTCCATTCATTTGCTTGTGTTCGGCCAGCATTGACTCCCCTCTCTCCACTTTTCGATCGACCCAAACTTGCCGCCCTCGCCTCTCCGCCATTCTCTCCCTGTATAGTTTTGACTTGTGTAGCGCAGCAATGACGAAGGTGCTGAGCTGCGAAAAATTGATTTTCAGGATTGAAAAGAAATTAAGGATCAGAATAAGAGAAAATTGAAAAGAAGAAAAAGAAATACAATTAAAGAGATATTTGTTGAAAGATTGAAAAGAGATATCATTTTCACCCTCTTTTCACTCGTCAAATCTTCCTTTAAACCCAAAGACCCATCATCAAACAATCGTGGAGACATAAATAGAAAGATAAAAAGGGAAAAACAACTCTGGAGAGAGAGAGAAAGGGAAAGAGAAAAAGAGAAAAAAAAATTCAAATTGAGAAAGCAAGAATCTTTTCATCTTCATAGATTTATAGCTTTAGGAATTGCGACAAAAAATAGACGCAAAGAAAGGAGAGATGGAGGAGAGAAAAAGTAAATGAATTAATAATTAAAAACGCCAACTGTATGAGAATTACAACCTTCACGAGCGACTTTTGGAGTGTATTGACGCGCCTTGCTGACTGGATCAATAGGAGTATAAATAGATAAAAAAAAACGAGTTAAGGTGCATAAGCGGTTCTTCGCAAAGTTAAGAGGTACAAACGATAGTTTGAAAATAGTTTAGAGGAAAATTATACATTCAGCCTAAATATAATTAAACTATTTACTACTTTTTTTTTTTTTTTTTTTTTTTTTGAGGAAAAATTATACATTCAGCCTAAATATAATTAAACTATTTACTACTTTTTTTTTTTTTTTGTTTTTTTTATGAAAAGTTTTTTTTTTTTTTTTTTTTTTGAAAAAGCATGGAAATGCTAAATTTTTTACTACTTAAACCATAGCTGCTGGCTGCTGCCATAACTATGGTTATGGATAAAAAAGTCTCACTATTGCTACATGTTCAAGGCCTTCATATAGGAAATAATACATGATATAAAAAATATTTTTAAAACTATATCTCCGACATAAATAATGAAATTATTTTTCTAAATTTCACACAAATTTTCAGTCAATTTATAACAGTAACAAATCCTTTTTTTTTACTGAAAGTTTGAGACGTTGGGATCAGAATGGCAATTATTTGTTCCTAAATAGCCTTGATTGCACATATTTAATGGTATTGTTTGCTCCCTTTATTTCAAAATATAAGTAATTTAAGGTTTTTACACAGGAATTAAGAAAGCAATTAATTCTTCTAAATTATAATAAAATTAAAATTAATTTGATCAAATTATCTTTTATAGTTGTGAAAATATTTATTGTATCTAACATAAATAAGGTAACATGGGAAAAATATTAATTGTTACTGCTTAAAATACTCAAAATGACTTATATTTTAGCAAAATAATCACCTAAAAACAACTTATATTTTGGGAGAGATGGAGTATTATCTTTACAGAAGAGGGAGAGTTATTAGATTTTGATTCCGATTCTTCCCAAATAAAGCTAAAAAGTTGATTTGATTTGATTAATTTATTAACCCTTTTGATGTAGACGTGGGTGAAGCTCTATTTTTTGTGTATGTATTTTTAATTAGTTTAAGGATTTCACAAAACATTCTGAATAACCATTTTAGTTTTCTTTTGGGTCATTATAATTTTTTACGTAGATAATAGCTGATTTGGTACTTATTTTGCACTCGCAGATCGAGGAAAAAAATTTTTGGGATCAATATATAATAAACTATAATAAAAAGAGTTTATTTGAAATTTTAAGAGAGGTCAATTAAAAAAATACATGTGTATCAAAAGAAAATTAAGAAAAAAAAAGAGAAGTCAATTGATGACCTCTTTCTACAATGTAGATCCGCCGCAGCTTATTTGGTATTTTTATCTAGGAATTTAATGAAAGGATTTAATTATGTATAAATTAGGTAAAAAAAATTATGAGTTGATTAGAATTCTTTTCCTTTTATTTAATATTTTTTAGATGAAAAAAAAACATAACGTACTTGGAATTTTTTCTAAAATGATGAAATTTAAACAAATTATTGTATTTAAAATAACTCAAATTTGAAATGAACTTATTTAATTTCCAACACTAGGTACATTTGTTTATAAAATACAAGGCAAAGTTTTTTTTTTTTTTTTTTTTTTTTTTTTTTTTTTTTTTTGGGAGAGAATATTAGACAAAGTTATATTTTAAGGATATTTTATGTCTCTCCATTAGCAATATAAATAAGCAATAAACTAAATCAAATAATTACTCTTGACATATTTTTATTTCTTTCAAAATCTCTTTTTTTTTTAATGTAATTCATTAATAATAATATCAAGAATTACAAATAAGTATATAGACCATACATAAAATTTTTATATTAGTAGCTGATATGGTTCGCTGATCTTTTAATGAAACAAAAAATTTATATCTTTTTGAACAGTGAAACTAAAACTAAAAAGTATAATATTAGATTTTTTTCACTTGGAGTTGATCTTGACATCAAAAGAATAACTCCTCTAGATATTCTAAAACTGGTTTGCTTTTCTAATAATTTGTAATATATGGCAAATACAGATGAGTTTCCGCCGCTATGTGTTAATAACATCAATAGAGGAACAAGCCGCACTACCAGACTCCATCGATCGAAGATCCACACCTGCAAATCAAGATCTAAAGTCTCCAACAAAATAAAATTAAATATCATAATTTTATTTAGTAATAAACCAGACTCCATCGATCGAAGATCCACACCTGCAAATCAAGATCTAAAGTCTCCAACAAAATAAAATTAAATATCATAATTTTATTTAGTAATAAACCCTCACAAAGAAAGAACAAAAAAAAACTTTAAATATGGAGACAACCAACAATAACAAATAAAAATGATAGATATGTTATAGGAAAAATAGATCTGAATTATTAGACGCAAAAAAATGGTGAAACGAAAGAGATAGTAGAAAATAGGAGGTAAGGGCTACCGTTGATAAATAATGGTAGCCACAAACTAAAACTATGGTTAGAAAACTAGACAGAAAGAGAGAGCTAAGTTATAGTAAGGGTTTTAAGTAATTGATTTGAAAACTAAATCACTGTCTTTTTAAATAAATTGAACAATAAACTGAAAACATAAATGAATTGAGTAGTAAAACTCATGTGATTTCAAAACATAAATAAAATTAGTCAAATCAATCAAACGAGTGTTGGGATAGGTGGTTCGGCATTTTTCTCTCTTAAATGAGATTGAGGTTCAAACACCGTGAATGAAATAAATATTCATTTGGAATTCTTTACCCCTTTAGTAAGCCGATCTGGTGTGAACATAATTTAATTCTAGTCTACTAGAATATTATTTTTAGTTATCTTCGCGAGTTTGTTTTCTTATTATTCACCTTCTTCTTTCCCATTACCCTTATGTTAGTTGCACATGTATTTATGCACTCGGTTTAAAATAGTGAGTTTGAATTTCGAATTCGTAAAAATAAAATTTACACGAGAATACAACATACTTTCATTGATTCAACTGTCTGTTGGTTCTATTTTTTCTTTTTTCCTCTTAAGATTCGTTTTTTCAATCTCAAGTTCTCATAAGAAGTACTAAATGGGCTGAGTTTTTAGTTGGACTACCCTAAAAGTTGGATTAAAGGCATTTGAAACTAAAGTCCAATTCATCATCAGAACCAAAAGCTAGAAGAGGGATTTTTTGTCTACTACACGTAGGAAGGTTCATTTCCCTTTTCTCTGACAAATTAAGTATAAATAATGTCATATAATAAATAATGATTTCAAAAACTCCATTGGATAGCATTTTTATATATATTTAATTATAGCCATTAACCAGCCTTTTATATATATATTATATAACATAAACAACTCCATAAACTTACACTGGTCTCACTCACCATGCCAGTCCACCACCACAAACCATAAAAACAAAAAACCCAAAAAAAAAAAAAAAACACCCCATAATAAAACTCAAGACCATTAGCCAACATTAGCTTAATTAATTATAATTACTTAATTAGAAAAAGTAAGTCGATGAACCCAAATCGAAGCCTTCTGGTACAGTTTCTGAAACCGGTGGCATTCTGCTAAAGAGCGGGCTATGAACATACTCACCAGAGTCAAATCCAAAATACGATCCACTTCCCGAAACCGACTCAAACCCATTTGTCAATGTGGTTTGCTCTTCAAAACCCATCAAACCCGAACCAACTGAACTCGAAAAATTGCTCGATAAATCACAAGGCAAAGGAGGAAGCTCATCGTTTGTAATAACCGGTTCTTGATATGTCGAACTAGAGCAACTCCACGTGTCAGGTCCGATCATTGAGCTAAAATCATTAGAGAAATGGCATTGTGAGACTGAACTGAAATCATGGAAACTCAACGGGTCGGGTTGATTTGACTGAGCTGGAGGAACAAACATTGAAGCATTATAATGTTCTAACTGTTGCTGTTGTTGTTGTTGATGAAGAGAGTGAATTTGTTGTTGTTCATCAGGAGAAATAATGGAGGTTACAGAAGAACCGGCAGGCATATCAGAGTAAACAAAGTTAGTACGAGCACGTGAGCCACGCATGTTACGGGCAGCTCTGTCATAAGCCAAGGCAGCTTCCTCCGCCGTGTCGAATGTCCCTAACCAATGTCTTTCTTTTGTGGTTGGGTCTCTTATCTCCGCTGCGTACCTTCCCCACGGCCTTCTCCGAACACCGAGAAACCTACCACCTTGTGCTGCCGGTTCTTGTTGTTGCGGCGTTGCTTGTTTCTTCTTGCTCTTTGATGGAGATGGATTCATGATTAGTTGGTGATATATTGAGCGGATAGATTTGTATATTTTGAAGAGTTGTGTTGTGGTGTGGGAGTTTCATGTGACCTGTTTATATAAGATGGCGCCTTGTCTGAAGTTTCTATTCTTATGTACAGATTTTGCCCCCTTCAATTCGAAAAATTCATCCTGTGTCCTCTGCCCTCACAATTTTTAGGGATTTAAAGGTAAATATGTGTATGTCCAATGCGCTTATGGTTGACACGTGTTTTTATTATATTGCGTGTCTATTTATTTATTTGTCAAGCACTATATTTATGTTAAGAAAAAAAAAGGTAAAGTAAAATAGTTTGGCGTGCGTTATCACTATAAGCATAAAAAAATATAAAAATATTACAAGTTTAGTTATAAGAATTTAAGATTTTCATTTATATATATATATTTTTTTTTTTTGTGTAAGATTTTCATATTAATCATAAAGAGGATAAATAATCTGATGTGTAAATACTAGATAATTCCACGTGTTATCACTAAAGTAAGTGGGATAATGTAAAATATGTAAATATGAATTATTCCTTCCATTTAAAAAAATTTATTTTAAATTTTGTACAAATTAAAAAATGTAGTTGATATAGTCAAATTATAATTTTTATTTAAATTTTTTAATATATACATAATTTAATATATACATAAATTAATATATAATCAAAGAATAAGATAATCAAAGTTATGAAATTGGCTAATATAGGTGGTTGGACTAATGACTTTATTATGAAACAATTTGAGCAATAGGTGGATTAATCAAAATTATAATTTGAGACAAGAGAATGATTTTTTGATCATAAAAAAAAGTGGACCTAATATTATGAAATAAGAGAATGATTTGCCTAGCTAGACTCTGTCTATTTATCTTTAATCATAAATCAAACCGTTGAAAAATATTTTTTTTTTGAACTGAGATTATTTTTTGATCCTTCGGTGGAAAAAAGAATAAAACGAGAATAGTTTTTAAAAAATTTTAATTTCATTTGTTTGAGTCATAAATTTGAACTTAGATCTATTATCATGTCGTATATGTACTTACTATTAGATTATATATTGACGTGCTGTTTAACTAAATTTTATACATGAGACAGTACGTTAAATTTGAAATATTATTAAAAGATTAAAAAATGACACAAGTCTTTAGAATTTCTAGCCAATCAGTTTTGCTGAATGACAAAAGAAGAATAATTGCAAAATAGACAATAGTATTACCGATATATTAATTTGCACGTTTAAATTATGTATAAATCATAATTATAAAGTTCTGAATTTTCCACTTTAGGAGGAAATTGATAAGGTACCTTGGAATTTGTACTTTATTTTAATCCTGTTTTAATAACATGAGATTATTTATTACAGTATTTATTTTTTTAGAATCCAACATGATATTATTGGACTATACTAATGTTTCGACGCATTGAGATAATTTACAGTATTAGAATATAAAAAAGTTTGACCCTTCAATACTTAATTATATAAATTAATTTAATTTAATTTAATTTAATTTTCATTCATCATCCTCAATCTTATCAATAGTATCATATATTAATATTTTTGAATTTCAATTTGCAATATATAGCACATTGAACATCAATTTATATACTAATAAAAACTTGATAGCAGATTTTATAAACTTAAAGGACAGAAAGATGATAAGAATGACACATGAGAATTAAAGAATGTATTTTAAGTAAGTAGATAGCCCTCTAACAAATTTCTCTGTCTCATTTTTCATTCATTCCACTCATTTTTCCTTTCCTGAATTTTCTATTTCTCTATATAAGATATATTAGGAAAGTTAGGGAAAAAAAAATAATTTTAAGTGTCATCACTATGATCTTTTTGTCAAAATCTATAAAATCTTGATACCAATTAAAGATTTTTATTATTAAAAATATTGGTATTTAATGTATTTTCTAATACAAATTGAAATTTAGGCATATTAATATACATTACGAATTTAGAACAATCAGGAAATTCAATCATTGAATTAGTAAAAGTGGTGGTGAAAGAGATAAGAGAAATGGAAAAAAAAAAAAAATCCTTAACCTCTTCTGAATATTTTTAATTTGTTAAAAATAGAAGAGAAAGACCCTGTCATTATATGGGTTTATATATATAACCTCTTCTTGAATATTTTTAATTTGTTAAAAATAGAAGAGAAAAGACCCTGTCATTTCACATATGGGTTTATATATATATCTATATATATAATATATTATATATATAGATTAAATAATTATACAAAAGGATTGAAACTAATATAATTAATCAATTTCAATTCAACTACTAGTTCAATAATAAAGTGTTTATTTTTGGCCATAAAAATTAGGGATATAATCTTTAGAACTCTCGTATACTATATATAAAAGTGAAAATGAGGGGGGAATAATGAGATTACTGATATTGTCCTTTTGAAATTTAAGATATCCTAAAATAATATTAATCTCAGTCAATTAAATAATTTTAATCTGAAAAATATATATAATATTTCTATAATTTGATTGGATTTTTTTTTTTACTTTTTAATAGATAAATATATATAGAGGTAATTATGCATTTTAAATTTTTAAATTTTTATTATTATTATCTTATTATTTTATTATGTCTAATTATATTATATTTTATTATATTATTATGTAAATTGTTAATAATAATTTAATAATGTCTAATAATTTATCATTATTAGAATTTATAATTTAGCTTCAACATTATTATTAATAATATATGTAAATATGAGGTATTTGAAAACTTTTTTACATTTTTTTGAATTTATTTAAATAAATATATCGAGATGATTCAAATTTAGATTTAAAAAGGGTATGATTAAATTTCTTTAATTACAAATTACACTCTAGTTTGATTGGCCAAAAATTAAGATAAAAAAATTTATTATTTTTAAATATCTCAAATTTTATTAATTATATTGATATCTTATATAATTCAAATCCTATTTCTATTAAAATCCTATTATCTACTTAAAGATATAAATTTTATATAATTTTTAAATACTTTTCATAATTTTAATTGGCTTAAAAAAATAAAAAATGAAAATTTTATTATCATTTATAAATATTTATTTGAATTTACTAGAATTGATTTCTTATTCTATGTTAAAAATATATTTATTTCTACAAGAGATTATAATGAAAGTTATTAACAAAACATGTATTTAATGTATAAAACTTATGATAGAAACTGTTAACGGATGAATTCCTATAAATTAATTTTTTAAAAAAAGAAAGTAACTAACGTATAAATAAAATTGTATGAATTGATACGTTGACATATAACAAAAAGAATATTTATTGTATATATAAAATGTAATTTTATTTTAAAGACTAATCTAAATAAGAATTTATACTTTAATATTTATATAAATAAAAAATTAAATAGAATATAAAGAATGATGCAATATAGCAACATAGTCATCGTGGCAATACACGTCATAAAAAATACTAATATTACTAAAAAAACTTATAATATATAATATTATACACACACTTTAAAAGAATTTTAATACAATGGATTGAATAAAGACCTTCATGATCATTAAATATATAATATATATAGTATAGTGAAAAAAAAAAAAAAAAAAAGTTAAAAAAAAAAAAAAAAGTTCTTCCTTTGTCATATGAGTTTCCAATGATGGGCATGAAGCTAAAAATAGAACATAAAAAAAAAAATAAGTGGGTTGGCATGATTAGAGATCTCAAAGACCATCATAAGCATGTTCTAACAGATACCTTGTTAATCATTATCCACTAATCAAATGGTTACTTTATTTGTATTAACAAATAGTTCTACAATGTCAATATATATATATATATACTCCAAAAGTTGTTACATGTGATCTATCAAACCATGCATGAATGCAAACCAATCATGGATCATACTTCCCTCAATCTAATCTAAGAAGAAATAAATCACTAATATATATATATTTTTTGAAAAGCCACTAGTATATGTTAAAATAATTTTAAAAAATTTTGCCATACCTCAACTTCACACTCCAATGATAATTGCAGATGCAGGCATGCCTTTGCCAAAATCAGGACCCATCATATTAGAATGATTAATTATCTCAATTCTGATACCAATTTAATATAAATTAACCTTTTTTTCTAAATTAAATTATTTTCACATTCACAATGTTAACTTAATTAATAATACTGCATCTCTTAATTTGAAATAAGTCCAAGTTTTTGCCCCGTTTCCCATACTAAAAAATAAAAATTGTTATCATTATTTGTTTTTTTCTCTAAAATTATTTCAAATAAGTCAGATTCATGTAATACTCTTATTTTTATTTAGAATTATAATTTTAGGAAAAACTTGCCTATATAAACTTCATTTTTGTACTAACATTTTTTTCAATTAAACAATCATAAATAATATTTATTTTTTTCTGTACTAAGAATTTTTATTGAAATAAAAGTATTTTTGATCATATACTTGAAAAAAAATAAAATTAAAACACTTTTAAAGAATCATTAGTTTCGTTCCTCGGCCCATAGAGCTTTCCACCAAGTTTTTTTTGTCACTTTCTTCTTTTATAAACTTTTTCACTAAACTAAATTTAAAAAAAGTTGTACTGACTAGTGTGAATTTATGAATTGAGCTGTAATCGGTACATTTGCTTGAAAAAAGTAAGCCTCTGATAAGATCAATCAAGTCAATCAAATTAATCAAGGACTGGACTGTCGAGTAACGATTGGCCGAGGGGAGTGCCATCATGTAGCAGGGTACAAATAAGCCAGTGAAATAGGTTGGTTTGTTTCATACATGAGGCCATGAAACCAGTATACGCAAGTTTTTTTCTTTAATTTATTATTGTGATTGAATTTCTATACCAAATCTCTTATTAGACAATCTAAAAATTAATTAATGGATGAATAATAGTGAAGGCTATGATGAGCATAGCATCTCCTTGGATAATCCCACATGGCCTATAATAATCATTTTCAAATTGTTTAAGCCATATACATTTCCCCA